GCCGTTTTCATCCATCTTGTTCCGGAAGACCCACTTTGTCCCAATGACATGTTGATGAGTAGGTCTGGGAACAAGTTTCCAGACATCATTTCTTGAAAACTGGTTGAGTTCTTCTTGCATTGCATTGATCCAATCAGAATCAGCTAGAGCTTCTTCAATATTCTTTGGTTCCACTTGTGAGATGAAACAAGCAAGCATAGCTTCTAGATTCTGTTGGGCACTCCTTGTGCGAACACCAGATTGAATATTTCCAATGATCTGTTGAGGAGGATGATCCCTTAACCAACGAAGATTGTGTTGATTGGGATTGACTGGTTGATCTAGTTCAGCTTCTGGTTGAAGAACAGAAGTTTTTGGTGTTTCCGGATGGATTGGCACTGGGTCGCCATTTCCGGAATTGTCGCCGTTTGAGATATCCGGAATATTGGAAGGCTGGTCAAAATTTCCGGAGGGCTCAACACTGTCTGAATCCGGATTCCTCTGTGAAATCTTCAGAGGCAGACTTCTGAATGGAATGAATTCCGTGGGCTTCATTCTATCTCCTTTATTGACTTTTTCATCCTTGTCCGATAGATCCAGAACCTCATGATCAAGCTTTGATGGTTTGTCAACCACATGTTTTCATCAAAAATAACATGTATTGACTCTTCAGTGATCATGGTTCTTTTGTTGAAGACTCTGAACGCCTTGCTTACCATATATCTTAGGAAGATGGCCTCATCTGATTTCTCATCAAAAGTGTTCAGATGATTCTTCCCGTTGTTTAACACAAAGCACTTGCTCCCAAAAATATGAAAATATGATATATTAGGCTTTCTCCCGTTCCACAGTTCATAGGGAGTTTTGTTGTGCCTTTTATAAATCATACTCCTATTTTGAGTGTAGCAGGCTGTGTTAACTGCTTCAGCCCAGAACCTCTTTGGTAAGGAAGCTTCTGCTAGCATGGTTCTCACTGCTTCTTTCAGAGTTCTGTTCCTTCTTTCAGCTACACCATTCTGTTGAGGTGTCCTTGCTACAGATGTCTGATGAAGAATTCCGTTTTCTTCACAGTAGTGAATGATGATTTCATTCAGGAATTCTGTGCCTTTGTCAGATCTGATCTTCTGAATGGTCTTACTTGCTTGGTTTTGAATCAGCTTCATGCAGTTGGTGAGTTTCCCTTGAGTCTCCTTCTTGCCGTTGAGAAAGATTGTCCATGTGTATCTTGAGTAATCATCAACTACCACAAGGACATATTTCTTTCCACTTAGACTTATTGGTGTAACAGGGCCAAATAAGTCCATGTGTATAAGACTTAATATCCTTGTAGTTGAGGGTGCCGATTTTGCCTTGAAGGTGGACTTGACTTGCTTTCCTTTTTGGCAAGCATCACAAATACTTTCCTTTCTGAATGCAGCTTTGGGAAGACCTTCTACTAACCGTTCTTTGGACAACTTGTTGAGAGTTTTGAAGTTGAGATGACTCAACCTCTTATGCCAAAGCCATAGAAGGTTAGTGTCACCTTTGCTGATTAGACATGCTTCCTTGACATCACTCCATATTACTTCATAGATGTTTCTGATTCTCTTCCCAGTGAGAATGACTTCATTTGTGGGGATGTTCTTGAGAGATGCCATGTCCTTGCAGAATTCCAAGGAGTAACCTTTATCACAAAACTGACTTATGCTAAGAAGGTTGTAATTGAGACCTTCAACATAAGATACAGCTTGGATAGTTAGTCCCTTGTACACCAGATTTCCTAGCCCTTTGGTAAGGCCAAAATTATTGCTTCCTCCAAAAGTAACTCTTGGACCATCATAGGGAATTAGATTGCTCAAAAGGCTCATATCACCCGTCATGAGTCTTGAACAGCCACTGTCTAAGTACCAGACACGTGGGTACTTAGTTGCTTCCTGCATTAGGAGGAGGAAGATTTTCGTACCCAATTAAGTTTGGGTCCGGAGTAGTTAATGGTGTGTGTCCCTACATCAAGTTTGAAGTTGCAGGGAATCTTCCTTGCAGCTCTAAACTTGTTGGGATTGTAATCATAGTTGTAGGCATAAAACTTCCTACGTGCAGGAGGGGTTATTTCTTGTTTCCTCCTAGCAAGCCTAGGTTGATAAGACCTATGATTTTGTCTAGGTAGTGCTATCACGTTGCTATTTTAGAGAAGGAATTATGGGGAGGCGAGGGGTAAATGGGGTGGCCGAAATATTATGGGGCAAAAGGGGAGTTCTTTTGGTGTTTTTTTATGAAGAAAAAGAAGAGGTTTAGGAAGAGAATATGGGGAGGCACGAAATGAGGGAATAAAATAGGAGGGGATAAATCAAGTTGGTGTTAAGAGATATGACACACTCTTATCTTAACTTGGGGTTTGAATCTAGAATTCAAATAAGATATTACACACTTATTTAAATATCTAGAACCTAAAACTCACACTTAAGATAACCACTCTTAAGATATAGAATTAGGAATTTGGCTTAAATAGCATCACACTATTTAAAATATACTCAAAGAGTAATGTTTTAATTCATCAAAAAAAAACTGCCTTACAACATGGCCCTAAGGCCGAATTATATATGAAGGGGAAAGTGGGGGGGAAACACACAATACAATTAATGGGACATAAGGAAGCTTCCTAGCAAATATTCATCAGCCCCTCATGTCTTCTAGGTAGGGAGAAAATTCAGAGATGATGTGTGGTTGTGGAGCTCCCTTCTCGGCCTTTAGTGCATGGGAAATATTTATGTGAATAATACCCATACTTTGATTGGTTTTTTGGGTGATGTATTCTCGGCCAAGTGGGGGTAAAAGAGAAGGAAGGCTGGCTGTTCTT